AATAAAAATTAATAAATAAAATAAATTAATTAATAAATGCAGCTGATGCAAGTAGCTGAGTGACTTGACAATCTTTGTAAGCTTCCGTACAGTCAGAGCAGAGCTCAGCAACCATGTCCAGTACACGTACCGACAAAAAACATTCTAAAAAGGAGAGAACAAGCCGAACAGAGGGGCAATGCTGGTGCCTTCATTCAGAGGTGGATGGGCAGGGAGCTGACCAACCTGTGTTGCTTAATTTAACCACTTCAATACCGGGCACTTTCACCTCCTTCCTGCCCAGGCCAATTTTCAGCTTTCAGCGTTGCCACACTTTGAATGATAATTGCACGATCATGCAACACTGTACCCATAAAAATTTTTATATTTTTTTTTCACACAAATAGAGCTTTATTTTGATGGTGTTTAATCACCGATTTTTTTAAAAACATTTTTTCCTAAATAATAAAAAAAGTCAGAAACTTTTGTTATATAATTTTGCAAATAAATAGCCTTTCTTCATAAATTTAGTCAACTGTATTCTGCTACATTTCTTTGGTGAAAATACCCTAAATTAGTGTATATTATTTAGTCTTCAGGAAAGCAATAGAGTCCACAAACTATGGTGTAATATATATATATATATCTCTGACAATTCATCAATTCTGATGATCTGACTGCCATTCTCATTTCTTGAGGCTGAAAAACACACCAGGATAGTACAAATACCCCCCCAAAATACCCATTTTTGGAAAATAGACAGGCCAAGGTATTTAGTAAGAAGCATGGCAAGTTTTTTGAAGCTGTAAATTGTCACAAATTTTTGGAAAATCAAGAAAATAGAAAAAAAAATTTACAATTTTTTTGGTACATATTGTCACCAGACCAGTAAAGTGTCATAACTGGTGTGGCGGTGATCAGGGACACTGTCATTTTTTTCTTTATTACTTTTTTTTCCAACACACTGTGACCACAGCAATACAGTGTTACCAGAGTAGCATTATACTACTCTGGACAAGTGATTAGGAGTTTTTTTTTTTTTTTTTTTACACATTATGATTGCTTGTACCAATGTATTTAATTGATATTAGCAACCATTTTTACTGCATGAAATGGATTCATTCAGTGTCTTTTGTTGTGATTAGCTGTGATTGGCTCAAAGCTCATCACATGGTACAGATGGGCTGTGATTGGCCATGTCTGTACCATGTGACCGCTGTGACCATTCACAACACAGCTAACACAAATGTATACAATGAATGGCATGAAAGGAAGCCATCCATTGTATACAAATGTCATGTGATCTGCTGTGATTAGTCAGAGATCACATGACACTGGCAGTGGGCCAGTGTAGTGATCAGTCATTGGCTGTGTCCAGTGGACACAGCCAGTGACAGATTGTGCCACTGAGTGGTCCATGCCTTCTGAGAGGACGTCATATGACATCCACTCAGAAGGAGGAGCGTCCCGCCCAGCCATCAATCAGCTATAGGCCAGGCTGGAAGGTGTTAAGCAGTGGTGGTGTTATTAGACTGACTGAACTGTTTGGTGGTGATTTCTGAATCTCTGGACTGGATCGACTGAATAACAGCTCTACCATACACATCTGAGCATTTAGTCATTTTCCTGCAGTTCAGTCATGATGACATGGCGCACACAAAGCCATGCTTCACACCACACCAAAAGGTGTGCTTGCCATTTCATTCACCCTCTATAGATGAAAGATTCTAGAGCAAGGGTGGGCAATCTCAGCACTCCAGCTGTGGTGAAACCACAAATCCCATGAAGCATTGCAAGGTATTTGAAAGCCATAGGCATGAACCCTAGAGACATGATGGGATTTGTAGTTTCACCACAGCTGAAGTGCTGAGGGCACCTACTTCTGGGCTGCAGCATGAAATACCAGTAAGAGAACCTAAAGGTGATGTCCACAATATATCTATGGAAAAAGACAGTGGGAGGTAAAAGGAGACTGTTAATCTCACCTCTCTACTGTCATCTTCACATCATTAGAAAGTGCACAGACCTGAAGCACTGAGCTATTTTCTGTCCCTGCCGTTTTATGAATGTAATTAGTCGAAACATACAAGAAGTCAATTAGACTTTCTACTGCAGTAACCCAATCACTTTAAAAAAATAAAAGAAGCAGGGCCAAGAAGTACAAAGTGCATGGACAAGAAGAATTGAGGTAACAGAATTGCATACAGGCAAGTTTAATTAAAGCTGTTCTCTGGGCACAAAAAAATTTTAAAAAGAGAAGACCCCCCCCCCCCCATTCATAGTATCGGTCTGATGGTGCATCTGTCCCCCACCGGCTCTAAGTGTGAGAACTCAGCAATCGCATGGCCGCTGATCAGCTGCTCTGAGCAGAGCGGTGATTGTCAGTGATCGCTGTCTGCCCTGCCCCCCCCACTAACTGGAGTGCTGGGCTGTGAAGGGAGGGGGAGCGCTGGCTGGCTCAAACTTGCCGAGAGGCTGAGCCAGATGCCACTCCAGACTCCGGGATGGATCCTGACTTTGTAGTTGGGATCTTTCCCCAGCCTGGACCAGCTGAGTGACGCCAGCCAACAACATGGAAAAAAATAGAACAAATCTTTTGCTTGGCAACTACATAAAAGACATATTCGTGTACAATTAGATATAAAATCGGGAAACATTCTTGCAAAGAAAATAAAACATTAAAAGCTTTGTTTTTATTTTTTTATATATTTATTTATGTCAAGCCAGAAATCTCAAGGCAGCTAAAGCTCACCTTTAGTAATAATATAGATCTGTATTTAATTCATTACTGAGTCCCAACACCGGCTGCTGCCTTATTTACAAAGAAAAGGGAGTAAAGGGGAAAAAAATTGTATAAAATCTAAAATCGGTCACACTTTGTAGAGGATAGCAGCTGGAAAAAAGAGCCTCATCTCTACTTAATAGCTCAGCTAAAACTCCCAGGATCCTCTGTAAAGTTGAATGAGAGGATTGTGGGATTTTAGTTGGCCACACAAGTAAAGACTGCTAGGAGCCTACCTTAGGTGGGTCAGGCCTTGCTGCTAAGACCTGGGGACAAGCAGCGCTTCAGAGGAGGATGAGAAGACTGGGAAACAACAAAGGCGCTGTCTGTGTGCCAGGATTACCCAAAATGTAATCTGTTATACTCACTGTCACCACCAAGTGGATATTTTATTATGCTTAAAAAAGGGTAAAAGTCAAAACAACAGGGGAATCGCAAAGTGGAGCAATGTAAAGAAAACCTATGACAAGAAAAATATATGGCTGCCACTGCTGACCACCTTCTGGAAATGCTAGTTACTGGATATCAAGTAGATCCGTCAAACTTCAATCCTTTGAAGTCACTGGCTGGAAACGTATATGCCTGATAAGGTCAGTGACTCCAGAAAGGAATAAAGCCATACGATCTCCATGACAGAATATGAATTTCCACAAGCTAGTCAGCATTTTTAGGTTTTTCTTTCACAACAGGAATTCTTTAAAGACAGGGACAGATTGTGGTAGTGCCAGCTGATCTATGGAACAAACATTCCTGGTGCCAGCCTGGGTGAGGTACTAACTGTGCATGAAACACCTTGTTGAGAAACACTGGGAAGCTGGCACCAGCCGAGCTAGGAGACCGATCATGGGTGCAGAGGAATCAAGCCTATTCTGACAGCCACTTAGAGTCACATTCTAGTTGCAACACAGGTGATGCAAGCCCTATACTGGTTGTAGCCCAGCCTCTAAAGGTCTCAGTCTGGTTGTGTCCAGACTGTGACACAAAAGTACAGGCCCTTGCCTATCTGTGACCAAACCAGTGTTTGCTCTAGACTAGACATAACACAAATCACAGGACTTTAAAATACAGTAATTATGGAAAAGCTGCCAATCTCAACCCCCCAGGAATCTTCTGTTTATCTATCCACGTTCCATAGAGAACTTCCCGGTGTGGCCCTGGGAACTGGACACCCTCTCGATGGAACCATTACGGGTCCAGCACTGCTCCTCCCCATGGAAAGGTTGACAGCCATAGATGAAGGCCCAACCATAGGAATGCACAGAAGTTCTTCCATGCATCACCAGCCAGAAGAATTTCACTGGAAAGGCTGAGCAATTATGAGCAACCGTCATATCTATGGGATGTGGCAAGCATGTGTAAGGGCTGCTGGGGAAAGAGGAGCATCCTTAAAAAATAACAGTACCAAAAATACAGTTATCTTTTATTCTGTGATAGAAAGAGTGCAAGTCCCAGCTTCATTATGATATTTACCAGTATTTCTCAACACCCCAAAGAGGTCATGTTTAAGGATTTCCTTCTTTCAGCTGTGAAAATTACTGGTCCGTGAGACCGATTGTACCATTTATAGAAGATAAAAGAAATCCTAAAACCATGCCTTGTCATTGGGGTTTTTTTTTTTTTTAGAAAACTGGCACACAATAATGAGGCCAGCCTGGCTGTAGCACAATGTGGCCCCCGCTGACACCAAATCACTGTAGTAAAAATGCTGGCCTACTTTATGCAAAGCAGCAACTGAACAGACTAAATCACAAAAATAGATCATTTCTCATATATATATATTATAATTTAAAAAAAAAATGATATCCTTTCTAGGTGGTGGCATGGGTGCCCAGTCGGATGTCGGTAAGGACAGGAATGTGTTAAGGTAAGTAGGGATAGGTGTGTGGTTAATCTATCACAGCCAGGTGGATCAGGAGCCCAGAATTAAAAAGGGGAGGGGGGGTGGACAAAGCGCTCTGTCGCGTACCCTGATGGCAGACAGTGTATACCCGCTTAAACCTGTCTGGTACATAAAGGCATTGATGCTCCTTATAGAGCAGTCTCTTCAGACCTTAGCCCCATTCCCTCTACAAACAGCTCATCTGTAAGTTCATTTATAAAAGATTTAGGTTATGGAGGACTAGACACCGCTCTCCAGCCCTCCACTTTGCCTTCCCCTTCCCCCCACACTTTGCCGTCACATGTGCAGCTGAAAATCCTTCATATCCCAGAATTGGGTGGGACAGGGTGGATAAAGCTTTTATTTGCTGAAGTTGGCAAAGTTTGCAAAGGCATCTTGCTTGGGAGGCATAGCTACGGGTGCCAATCCCACAGACATCCCCATGGGGTTGGGCATTCCCATCATGCCTTGGTTCATCATTGGAGGGATTCCTACAGCAGACATCCCCATGGTGCCGGTCATCATGTTTGGGATTCCCATAGTTCCTGGCATTGGGCCAGCCATCATTGGGCTAGTTTGAGGTCGAATGGACATCATGCCTGGGCTTCCACTAATGTTCATACTTGCAAAACTCTGTGGCAGCATCGTCTGTTGTAGATCTGCAGGAGAAGAAACGAAACGAGTGAGGTTTCATATGCCAATCTGTTAATAGGCAATAAAGAAATACTTTGCACAAAAAAAAAATGTATTTGTAGAGGGACCAAACAAGAACAAAGCCATCCTGGACATCACCAATGGAATCACTGAGATGTATAATAAAGCCAGTGTGTTATCCAGGCTAACAGGATGAACCATAATCAGTTCCTAGTGTATCAAAAATAATTAATGCAAAGCAAAAACACTGCAACATATAACATTCTTGTTTTTTCTAAAATAGATAGGGTCTCTTTAAAGAAAGGAAGGTGGTTAGAAGTTTTTTTTCTTCTCATAATATCAAAATCTCATTAAAGGTACAAGGACAATGCCACGTACTAAGTCAAGGTTCAAGGCACAATATTACATAGTACTGGAACTCTGAGGCGTATGGAACAAAGAAAATGGATTTTCAGAACAAATTCACAATGTCACTCAAGTGTTCCAACTCAAGCCACATACCCTGGGGCTTTTGTTACTCTACTCAGCTACTCCATAATAAGTAGACAGACATCTTTGTTATCTTTGAGAATCACTTACTTTGCTGTTGCATCATTGCATTGAGAGAGGGTTGAGCTGGTTTACAGGGCTGCATACCCGGTATCAGGCTATCAAGGGAGATGTTGACGCTAGGATCAGACCAAGTGGATGGCAAAGATTTTCCAGGAGTTTTGAGGTCTGCCCCAGATGTGGGAAGTGTGTTCTGTTTCTGGAGGGGCTGAGAAACAAAGTTAAATTATACAATAATGTGAAGTATCCTAGAAAAACAGATCATTATAGCATAGATAATTTTTTTGTTAACCCATAGAGAGAATACATATATGTCTCTATATTGATTACCCCATGGTGTTACAGTTCACAAAAAGAATTGTCCTCCTGATTTCTCTATACTTGTTGTTCTCATTGGATTCATGTGACTCGATAATTATTGCAGGACCTGCATGTGCAAAGGACTGAGTGGAACAGTAACTGCCTTCAAGAGACTCAACTATAAAAAAATAGACAAAGTGGGGCTTAGTAGAACTGAAACTGCCAAGGTAATAGAAAAAAAAAAAACTGCTTTGCCATTTGTTCTACTGCAATACAGGTTCTTATAATGCTCATAGAGACTCTGCCACTTTGCCTATTCAGGGGCAAAGCAGGTGTTCATGAATGGAGTGTACAAGGCATTAAAAATTATTTAGGATTTTTTTTCAAAATGTGAGACATGCATCCAGTTAGAATACTATTTAAACATGATATATAGCAAAAATTGTAGCAGTAGGTTTATTATCACTTCAAGCACTTGTCCTACGCAATATTTACCCCCCAGCTTTCTTCTGGTGGTATTTGATCAAATCTGGGTTTTTATTTTTTGTGCTATAAACACAAAATACTGAAAAAACAAATAAAACAGTATTTTTGACTTTGTGCTACAAAACATATCCAATAAAAAAATTTTCAAAAGTCACTGTCAAAAATCAGAATGCGTATTCTGCTATATATTTTTTTTAGTAAAAAAAAATCCCAATAACCGTATATTGATTATTTTGAGCAAACGTTATAGCGTCTAAAAACTATTGTATATATACTGGAATTTTTGTTTTATTTTTTAGGCTTGTAATGGCGGTGATCAGTGGCTTATAGCGATATTGCGGCGGACAAGCGGACACTGACACTAACTGCCACATTGTGGAAACCAGTGACACTAATACAGTGATCAGTGCTAAAAATATGCACGGACACTGTACTAATGACACTGGCTGGGTAGGGGTTATACATCTAGGGTGATCAAGTGGTTAACTGTGTGCCTAGCTCTGTGTAATGATTAGTGTGTGTGCTGTTTTCACTAGACAATGTGCTGGATTCTATTCCCTGCTTGAAGGGAAAGAGAATCCAGCACATTGCCGATGACAGGACCCAGCTTTGCCTTGTTTACATAGGCCCAGCTGTGTTCTGTCTGTTTCCTAGATAATAAGCAGGTGCCGGCGCTCATCTACTGGCTGCAACCCGCTGACCGGCTTCTGCTGTGACCAATCATATTGTATTTATATATTATATGTGATTCTGCACAGCGCGGCCGCCCTGTAGCAGTATATCTGTTATAAAGCGGTCAGCAAAATGGTTAAAGTAGCTCTTATCAGTTCACTGATGAAGCACAAACTTGTTTCTAACACAATGAACCATTGCCAGGTTTGTGCACTAAAATCCAGACAGGACTTACTTGTGATCTTGACATGGGCAGCGTCACGCCCACTGTGCTGGAGCTCATCATTGATAGGTTCATGCTCTGGGATGTGCTCATTGTGGTATGCGAGGCTCCCATGAGGTCAAAGAGGTCTGGAGGGTTGGAAGGAGCTTGGGCGGTCTGAGGAGAAGAGCTAGCAAATAATTCTGTACTATGTTGTGATCCCCCAAACAATTCCGCTGAAGGCATTGCGGAGATGGGTGCTGGTTGGTTGAAGGCTGCCCAGTCTCCAAACTCTCCATTACCAGTTGCTGCAGGAGCTAAGATTATAAAAACAAAGCAAGAAAACAAAAACAAAAAACAAAACCGTGACAAAAAGGACTGAAAACGCAAATAGGAATGTCTAAAGATATTCTAAGATAGTGTGGGACATGGGAACATAGCTTTTAGACTTTTTTTGAGGACACATTTACAGTGATCTCTTTTAGGCTCCATGCTCACTAGAAGCTGAAAAACCGCTGGATAAAATAGGCCAAAATTAGCGTTTTTTTCCGCTGTTTTGCCAGCCTTAAAGCTGGTTAAGGAAAATCTAGAGGGGTGTTTGACTATCAGGCTTTTACTGCTCTCTGAGGCTTCACTGGGAAGATTTCCCCTCTCTTCCTGTCACCAGGATAGGAAGTAGGGGAGATTTCCACTTACTTCTTGCCCCAGTGACAGGGACAGGAAGTGAGGGGGAATGTCGGTTTTATATTGAGCAATAAAAACAGACAGAAGTTTTAACTTTTTGACACTCCCAAAACTTAAAATAGTTTGGCTAGAGATGCACCTTTTTTTCTCCAAACAATCTTTACTGTATTTTAAATTATAGATACAAAAAAGCGTACAAAAAACATCACTCACGGTAATAGGAACCTCAGCACTGTAAATATAAACTAACAATCAAGCATCAAAAATGAAAAATGATCAAAAAAAAAAAATGACTCACATCTACAATACTTGAGGGCACAGTAAAAAACAAACAAGAATATATACTTTAAATATATTCACGTTAATATTACAACTCACAAACCGGTAAAAAAAAGCAAGCTAGCGAGTATCTACACTACACAAGAAGTCCTAATTTAAAAAAAAGAAAAAGATACACTGTAAATGTGTGCTGTCAATGCCAAGCAATCAGTAGTGAATAAAAAAGGCTAGCAGTATGGCATATTATTTTAAAGCAGACCCCTGGCCTAACAGCTCAATAGTTTAATATATTGTACATTGTACATCCAGGAGACGGAGCCCACCTTACAGACACAGCAGCTCTGCAGTTTCCTGTTTTGACTCTTCACTTCCAGGTTGGCTCATTAGACTGCAATGCACATCACCTCATTAGAGAGGTCCTCCTTGCACCCAAGCAGGGTTCAGAAGGCTTCTGGTAACCTTCATTGCTGAAGCCTGCTAAAAGCTTGTTTATAGGCCAAGTTAATCTTTTTGAACATGATACGCTCATATTTAGGGTGTAACATGTTTAGCACCCTCCTCCCCCTGTGACAGCAGATGGGAAATTCTCTCCCTGCACCCACTGTCACAATTTAAAAACAGCTCGGCTGCACGAGGCTCCGCCCATACACCCCCCATCATCCATTCACAGTTTCCTGTGAATGAATAGACTACAAGCCGTTTGCCTCAGTGAACTACAAGGTCACTGGTGAATACCATTGATCTTCCTGCTCTCAAGTAACTGCCTGCCCATGCAGCATACAGGCACACAGCTATCCTGAGATTCTGCAGAAGCCTGACATTGCACCTACAATCTGCTGATCGTGGCTCCTTAGAAAAAAAGAATAATAAATGCTCATCTGTTACCTGCAAAATAATGTGTATTTACTACTTTTTTTTTTCCAAAAGGTGAAATTATCCTTCAAAGCTACAAGCAGCACTCTAATTAAGATGTATGTTTAGCACTCAGAGATTTGTACTGAAAAGTGTTTAAGGTCTTCATGAGGTCTACTTAAAGCCTGGTAAAACTTTTCTGACTTTGGGGATGTAACCATAAATACCAAGGTTTGATCGGAAATGAATATATCAAAGCAAGGGCACCTGGCACTCAAATGCCCTTAAAGTGTAAGTAAACTCTCTCAATCAACATTAACTATTTTCAATCCTTATGCTGCTAGCCTTACTAAATGGAAGTTTTTTTTTTTGAACATACTTCTTCAGTTGCTTCCTGGCTTGTAGCCTAAGCTAAAAATGATGTCATACACCCCAGGATTTGTGCATTTTTTTCCTTCCACCTGGAGGAGGCGAGGAGGGGGTTTCTCATCATAGCAAGGAAGTAAATGCTTCTAAATTAATCATCATGAGGGTGATTTTTATGTTGATTTCTCAACAAAATAAAGCATGAAAACATGGACGGATGGATGGATGAGCTTGCTATGAATAGTAAAAATGAATTCGCATTTTCAGTTTGTGATGCTCAGATACAGTTATGTTCTGCTTTATTGCAAACCAGGCACAATGGAAATAGGGGTGGCTGACAATGCTGACCCCCTGGCTTCAGTACCTTCCAAGTCAATGACCTGGAAGAAGCATGCAACCAATGGGGATGAAACTCCTGATCTGCATGCCTGTAACAGGTCAGTGACTCAAAACAGCAAAGCCAGAGGATAAGCAATGGCAATCCTGTATTTATCATTACAAAATTCCATAAATCAATTCCGTTCATACACACTCTACTTGCAGTTTTTACCAGCTTTGCATTGCAGGCATGATCAGATGCATCAGGCCTGCCCACTCCTTTATTGGCTATATAGATACAAATATATAAACTGTAGGTGGTGGGCTGCTGCCTTGATCATTTTTATGATCAAAAGTTGGAAATTACCTTGTGTAGGATCTGTATTATAGAAGGCACTTTGCACCTATGCGCAAGCATATTCCTATTAATTTTTTAAATGCTTCCCTGTGTGCTCCTGGAGCATGGGCCTATGCTACACAAAGCAGTGCCGCTATCTCTATAGGTCACTGTGCTGTGTACATGGCATTGTGGGATGCAGGGGAGAGGCCCATGCGCCAGAGCTCCACCTTGGGCTATCTATATATTCAATGATGAGAACGGACCGATTGCCTTATTTACCTTGTGTAGCAGTGAAGATGGAAGACTGAGCAGTATGTGAATTAAAATCAGCAAATTCATCAAATGGATCTGAAGATGAACCTAAAACAGAGAAAACTTAAGACTAAAGCCTACAGCTGTAGCTGCAGATAGAGGAAAATTTAAACAGACTAGAGAAACTCTTTAAGGGAGGAAAAGCTATTACAGGAGTCTAACCTCAATCAAAACCTTTAATTTATTTTTAGATACAGCAGGGAAGAGTTAGAATCAGGTATTTATTGCTGTGTTCCTGCTGGGGAACAGTCATTGGTAAAAATCTGACAGAGTTTCAAACTCTCCTTAGTCTCTCCAATCTTAAATGTAATCGTTTTGTCTGAAGTTGGCTTCAAACACCAAAGCTTTTAAAACATGTGTTATCCCTACATATGGGAAACAACTCTAAATGGCAGAATGTTTCCTTCTTCTACAGAGGTACTGGAGATGGAAAGATGCTCTTATTCCAACTTTGGGACTGCTCAGTGATTAACACAGGCACATTCTAAGACTGGAAAAGTTACTGAAGTAGCCTTGTTTTTTTATATACACAAAACAAACAGCTAAGGATGCAATGAGGTTTGCAAATGTTAAAGAAAAATATATGATAATACTGATTAGCCAGAAATTTTTTTTTCCCCAACAAAGTTTTAGGATTTGTGAATGAATGCAAATCTAACGAGTTCTGTCTGCTTGAAGATCCACTTTAAGTCAAAGTTTTGTTCATGTCACAGTTAATATCATATGCAGAGTGGTACACAAAATATACTGTGGTGGTTTACTATGTGTAATTTGATTTTTAATACTATGGAAGAATAAAAGGGGAAACACACACTATACAGTATACCAGGGGTCCTCAAACTACGGCCCGCCAAGGACATTTATCTGGCCGCCGGGACCTGTAGCGGCAAGATTAACTCCCCTATGAAGATGTGTGTCCCTGACGCTTCTGCGCATGTCACGGTTTTCGTCAGAAGTAGCCGATCAACAACCATAGCACAGAGCTGTCACAGTTAACCCCTTTTCTGCTGCACCGCTGATTACACTTATACACGGCGTTCATCCCATGGATCACTAGCCACCGATGCTCCAGCAAGATGGATCAAAGATGCGTATTGGGGAGCATCATGGATCGGAGAGAGGACAGTTACATGGGGGGGTTGTGACATGGGGAAGACACTGACGTGTGGGGGTCAGTGACATGGGGGGGCCGTGACATGGGGAAGACATTGACATGTGCTGAGGACAGTGACATGTGTGGGGGTCAGTGACATGGGGGGCTGTGACATGGGGAAGACACTGACATGTGGGGGGCTAGTGACGTGCTGAGCACAGTGACGTGTGGGGGTCAGTGACATGGGGTGGTTGTGACGTGTGGGGGGCCAGTGACATGTGGGGGGGGCCAGTGACATGTGGTGAGGACAGTGACATGGAGGGGGCCAGTGACATGTGGTGAGGACAGTGACATGGAGGGGGCCAGTGACATGCGGAGGACAGTGACGTGCGGAGGACAGTGACATGTGTGGGGGTCAGTGACATGGGGGGCCTGTGACATGCGGAGGACAGTGACATGTGGGGGGCCAGTGATGTGTGGGGGTCAGTGACATGGGGGGCTGTGACATGTGGGGATCAGTGACATGTGGGGGGCCAGTGACATGGGGAAGACACTGACGTGGGGGGGGGCGTTTTCAGTGACATGGGGGGGCCATAACATGTGAACAAAACTGCGGGTGTCATTAACTTTTTAATGACACCCACAGCGGTTCGCAGGCCCATAGTTCTCATTGAAATACTAATAAGTTTGTTGATTAAACTTTACTTGTTCTTCATTTTAAATATTGTATTTGTTCCCGTTTTGTTTTTTCACTTCAAAATAAGATATGTGCAGTGTGCATAGGAATTTGTTCATAGTTTTTTTTTTTTTTTTTTTTTTTTTTTTTTTGAAACTATAGTTCGGCCCTCCAACGGTCTGAGGGACAGTGAACTGGCCCCCTGTTTAAAAAGTTTGAGGACCCCTGCAGTATACTATACAGGGTACTAGGTGTAGTCCTGGAGTTCAACCTCTCCTTTCCACATCCAAATCACTGTCCACATTTTGCGATCTTCACCTTTGCAACTTTCCCAAAATCCACTCCTTCTTAACCAATGATACTACGCTATTAAATCTCTCCCTTGTCATTTCTCGTCTCAACTATTGCAGCTCCCGCCTCATTGGCCTACCTCTGCACAGGCTATCCTGCCCTTCAATTTATCATGTATGCTGCTGCCAGTATCATCCACCTTACAAACCATTCAGTGTCTACAGCCCCTCGCCGCCAATCCCTCCACTGGCTTCCACCAGCCTAATGTCTGAAAGACTGAAATACTACTAACATAATGCAAAACCATCAACAATTCTGCCCAAGCTACATTCCCAAACTTCTCAAAATATCACCCAAACCATCCTCTTCGCTCCTCCTAAGACCTCCATTACCTCCTCCCAAGCTCACCTCCAGAACCTCTCCCACCTCTGGAATTCCTTACCCTCTGCTACATGAAAAATCATCTCTTCTGGAAAGGCCATCCTGCCTCTTCCTAAAATGGGAACTTTTTAAGATCAACTCATCCTCGCTACAATTTGTATTACTTACCCTTCTATTTTAGATTGTAAATGCTCATAAGTAGGGCCCTCCTACTCCCTGTCTTGATTTGTATTGAAATATATTATATATAATATAAAACCTGTATAATAACAAAAGAATTACAATGTATCCTATCCCTATTGTTGTATTAAAGCTAAAACATAGTAAGTGTGTGAAAGGTAGAACAATTTGTGTTGTCTCATTACAAAGCCCTACCCTTGCTAACTTTCTCATACAATGTACTTTATGGTAAATATTCTGTAAGTTGTCCTACAAATTGCGTTAACCACCACAGTCCAGAAGCTGTGCTGTGCATAGCATAACGTCAACCACTACACTGCATATGATGAACTGTTATATACTCTGGACTGCCAACATTATACTAGGTATTACTTGGTCTGGACTGACACTTCAGATCCTGCACCGAGCAAAGCACACTGTGGCTCACCACACAGTAAAAGAGCACACTCCATACACTGTGCTGTACAATGCTTGCTCTGGAGCGCCATACTCAATATTTCTGACTCCAACGTGGCACGCTGTTGTCTACTCCATACATTGATAAGCAGCCCGTACTCAATGGTACACATATGTTGCGATTTTTTGCATGCTCCGGATTTTCATATGCAGCAATGTAGACTGTATACTCCAATTTGTTATACCGTACCACTCCATCCTGTACACAGTGCTATATGTAATGTACTCTGCTGCTTTAACCACTTTAGAACTTGTTAAAAATCATTTGAAACTTTGACATTCATTCACATTAATAAGCACCCTTTTAGGGAGAGAAAAGGAAAATTAGGACAAAAGTTAAGCAGAAGAGAATATATTTTCCTACTCCAATAAATAGGGATTTTTCTAGATAAACCCTTACTAGACAACACATCCAATATCCATATCTCAATTTAAAAAAAAGACTTTAGTGTACACAAGTATTGAATAAGATAAATACATTAATGGAGGGACAGCAGTGCTGACACAAAACAGCCATCACCCCCCCTCCGCACCCCGGTATAAAACACAATAAGTGGAGCTCAGTTGCTCAGGTCCACACTTGCTGTGACCGTTCTCTCAGCACAGCTGGCTAGGCAGGTGGTGCCATAACATCTGCCCAGCACTCAAGTATCCCCAAAGACCGCTTTTGATGCCTGGCATAATGCCCGGGCTGCCACAACTCTGCAAGAAATTCTATCCATCTGGCACTGCCAATTGGACAGAACATAAAATGGTTCTGCTTGGGAGATCAGCAGGGGCCAAGTACCAAGATACAAAGGACAGAGAAGTGAACAAATAAGCTGTATTTATTCTGAATCAGAAATAGCGAAAAATATATGCACACATCATTCATAGAGGTATGCTTGGTCCCCATATATAACTAAAAACATGAAAAACACACGGATCTCACACTTCCACTCTCTCACCCTTACAGTTGACACAACAGAAGAATGACATTCTCATACTGCTGTTTACTTGATCTACGGAGGTGTCAAAATGGATATATGGGTGGCCTTGCTCACTATGCTTCCGGCCTCTTTATGAGCAATAAAAGAGGGCCTCTAACTTCTTCCCAAAAGCAGCAAGTGTGGTCATCCCCTGGACGGCAGTGGCCACCCAAAGAAAGAATGGGTAACAAACGTAATCTTCTGGTGCATATGGAAGAAAGTGGCCCAAACTACATGACAGGTATTCACAATTTTCCTCCACCCAGGTCCCTCAATCATCTTCCAAAGCAGTTCCCAGTTACAAACTTTGCTCACACTGAACCTTACAATTTCACAATCTGTGGGCTAATCCCCCTCCACCTACTTAGGCATCCACTTTCCCTCTGGGACAAGTCAAGAAAAAAAAGAAAAAAAAAAGAAAAGAATTTTTACATATTTGTAAACTCCATATCTTAAGTACAGTATATAGGAATTAATTCATAGACCATGGGTTGTATGCCACTACCCTTCAAGTAAAAGGACAATGGCAAAAGCTTTGCTGGGTCTACCCCCTAGTCTCCCCATATAACCCTGCTCACTCCATGAGGCTCTGGTTTTGCAAGCTATAGAGAGAACACAGAGAAGCGAGGTACCCCATGTTCTGTACAGTACTCTAAGAAATTGAATTTACAGGTATGTCAAAATTCCTCTTATCTTTATCATACAGCACAGAAATCAATTCAGAGTCTATGGGACATCCCCAAGCAATAATAAAGGGGTAGGTATTAAGACAGCTAAACAGCCACAACAGACCCACAGGAAGAAAACAAGAAGGGCAACAGGCCTCAAACCAAACTGTTACCAGTAGAAACACTTCACTGCAGGAGCAACAGCTGAGACTGAATAACCAAGAAACATTTTGTGAGAAATGAGAAACAGAATTTACGTGTTGGTTCCACTCAAAGGGGAGTGCACAACTCTAGATACCCAATTTTATGGGGCATGGGCTAGAGAAGGAAGGAGG